TCCCTCAGCCTTTCCTGCTCCCAGAGATGCTCCATCCCTTTGGCATCTTTATATCCCTTAATCCAGGAGCTCCCTGTCCCTGCTGTGCTGAGGAGCCCAGACCTGGAGCAGGCACTCCCCAGGGCTGAGCAGAGGGTCAGGATCCCCCCCTGGCACCTGCCCTGACCTGGTGGTTGCCCTGGGATGGTGCAGAGGTGCCAGCCTGGCCCTTGGGGAGCCCTGTCACCTAAACTGCTCACAGCAAAGAGACAGAGAGAGGTTCATTTGATGGGAAATTTTCCTTAATAGGTGCCTTTAAATTACATGCAGGAAGAGCTCACTGAAGGATGGTGTGGTGTAATTTAATGCTGGGTTAAATGATAAAATCCAATGCATTTTCATTAGATGTTCTGAGACACTTCTCCAGCATTTATGCTTTAAAGGCTGTTGGATTGCCAGCTGCAATAACTATTTTGATTGCAGCCCGAGCTGATGGTGGGCATCCTACCAGAAAAATAATGTGCTGGGGGTTTAATTATGGCACCTGCACTCCTGAATGGGAGCCTGAGTCACTCTGTGTGTGTGGTACAGTTGTCCTGGATCCAGTGGGACGGGATAATGTGCAACAGATGGAGGGCAGAGCGAGGGAATGTTCTGGTTTAGGGCAAAAGAAGTGTGGAGCTGTGGGTTGAACCTGCTGAGCAGAGCAGGCAGGGGGGCTTTGGCTGGTGCTCAGCTCCCTTTGGAGCTGGATGATGGGACAGTTTTCCACTGGGGAGGGACTTTGTGGCATTAGGGAGGGTGGTGGGACATCCAGGGGGGAGATGGGAAAGGTCCTTTGAGGGGCTGGGGAAGGGGCTGGAGCAGCAGGAGCAGCTGAGGGAGCTGGGGGGGCTCAGCCTGGAGAAAAGGAGGCTCAGGGGGGACCTTCTGGCTCTGCAACCCCCTGACAGGAGGGGGGAGCCGGGGGGGGGGTCGGGATCTGCTCCCAGGGAACAAGGGACAGGAGGAGAGGGAACGGCCTCAGGCTGTGCCAGGGGAGGGTCAGGTTGGACATCAGGAGGAATTTCTGCCTGGAAAGGGTGGTCAGGCCTTGGCAGGGGCTGCCCAGGGAGGTTTGGAGTCCCCAGCCCTGGAGGTGCCCAAGGAAGGGCTGGAGGTGGCACTCAGTGACAAGGTGGGGATGGGGCACAGGGGGGATCCATGGGCTGGGAGGGCTTTTCCAGCCTCAGTGATTCCAGGATTCTGTGAGTGCAGATCCCACCTGGAGCCTGGTCCAGGCTTGACCCTCGTGGCACTGCAGGTTCTCACCCCCATCAGTTCTTCCCAAACCTGTCCTGCTGCAGGGGGGGGACCCAGACCTCCGAAACATTCCCAATATTGGGGCAAACCCCAGGGGGAGGCAGGAGGGAGGACACGAGGAGAGCAGAGGATTTCTGTGCTGCTTTGTTTGGGGGATATATTGATTTTTGCAAGGACAAGCTCCTGGAGTGGCATTTCTGGCGCTCGGGCTCCTTCAGTTCCTCACAGCAGGAGCAGAATTAAGCCAATGAAAAACACATTGAAAATCTCACACACAATCAGTGCTGGCTCCAAGCACGTTAAGGGGATAATCACTCAATAATCCATTTGGCCAGAGGTACAGAAGGACTGGAATATGGTTATTGGTGCTGTTGTTACTGCCCTCACCTTGTTATGGCCCTTCATAAAAACCAGGAACAGACTTTGCTGTTTTTTTTTTTCCTCATTAGGGTGTGGGGTTTTTTTATTGCTCCCCTAAATAAGTGGTTTCAGAGTTGCTGTTTTGGTGCATGAGGCCATTGGGGGATGATTCCATGTTCTCTCTCTCTCCCAGCAGAGATTCCATGTTCTCTCTCCCATGCTTTCATTCAGCCTGGGCTGTGGATTTAGGAAGGAAGGCAGGAGTGTCCTGCCAAGCCTGGCTGTCCTGGGGCTCTGGAACAGGAGAGCTGAGCTTTTACTGGGGTGGTTTTGTGAGAAAAATCTCATTTATTAAATTTTTTGCCGTTTTTCTAAATTTAATAAATGAGATTTTTCTCACAATTTGAACGTGGACACGGGTAAATTATTGTTCCTTCAAGAGGATGTTGCCTGGGCTCTTGCTTGGAGAGGATGAGGAGGACATCAAAGAAGGAAAAAAAATCAGTTGTGTGTGTTGGTTGGAGGCTTCAGAGGAGGAAGAACTTTTATTTTCCATGAGAAACAGGAGGAATTTAATCTCATTCCCAGCACAGGTTTTCATGGAGGAGGAGAGAGGGAGCTCTGTGCAGTAGGGGGGAGGAGGGGCTATATAGATATTTTCCTGCTTGCTTCTGAGTAAGTTTAGCTTTAGCACTGATGGGGGCACTTTGTGGGCAGGAGGGAGTGTCTGATCTCGGGGGGAACACGGTGTTTGGTCACCTTTTGTGCTGCCAGGCAGCCCCTTTGCTGCTCCAGGGACCTTGGAGGGACACGAGTGACCCTCTGAGTTGGGTGCCTGGAGGGTTCATTAATTTCCAAAGGCTCAGCAAACCCAGAGGTTCCCCTGGAAATTGTCTCTCCAGGCAGTGTGGGATCTGTAGCAAGAGTGAGAACAAACCTCAGTTCCAATTTCATGCCCTCGTGCACAGGCACTTTTCTTTTAAAGGCCTCGTAACTGGAAAATCCGGGTTGGGTTGGTACAAACGCCCCAGGGCACTGCTGGTGCAGGTCCCACTTAATTCCCAATGATTCCTGGGGGGCAGGAGAACTTCCTGACAGGTCAGGGACGTGTTCTGCAGCCCTGAATTAAAAGCAACATCTTCAGAGTGGGATCCTCTCACCCCAGGATTTGTTGAGCTCTGTTTGTCCCACCCCGTGTCCCTCCCTCCGGAGATGCTGTGGTGGCTCCAGGGCAGGGATGGGAGAGTGTGACCCTGTTTTTTTTTCCAGGATAACGGGGTTCCAGCTGCCTGGGGAGGGGAGTTGTGACCTTGCTGTTGTTTCCTTGCAGGTTGACAGGGTTCCAGCTGCCTGCCCCCGTGGTCAGCTCGGGGGCTCTGCTGTCCCTGTGGCTCGTCAGCGACTACGCCGTGAGCGCCCAAGGCTTCCAGGCCACCTACGAGGGTGAGTGTGCCCAGTGTGCCCAGGAAACCACAGTTCTCTGTGCCCACATTTGCCTTGAGGGGATGTCAAACCAAGGGGTGAAGTCTCTCTCTCCATCCATGGCAGGAGGGTCTCATTCCTGTTGAATTTAATGCCTTTTATTTTACAGAATTCCGATTGTCGGTTCCTTCCAAATACTCAAAACATCCTTAAAAGCTCATTTAATTCCCTGGAATGTCAGGGAGGATGGGTGGTGTGGGATTGGTAGTGGCTTACAGCAGGAGCAGTGTCTGTGCAGGATATCTGAATTCCTGCACTTTGCTTTACTTTCTCTTCCCTTATTTGTTATTTTGCTTTTCCCTGCTCTTTCCTCCCCGAGTACTTAAATTCCCCTCTTGTGTTTCTGGCCATAAATGGGATGCAGAGTTTGGTGGTTGTGGAGGTGAAGAGCTGCATGTGCAGGCTTGAAAGCTTCAGAAAGCCCTGGGCAGTAGAAGCCACCAGATATGGGCAAAAAAAACCTGTTTGTAGCAGAAGGCAGTTCATTTTTTCCTGGGTAAACGACAGATTAACCACGTTAAAATTGAAGTTACACTGATGTTGATTGTTGAACCTACAGTGCCGTTCATCTCCCCGTAAATGTTTTTCTTTGGAGCCCTTAAAATCATCATTAATGCCGAGAACTTCTTGGTAATGAGTCCAACCAGCCAATTACCCAAGACATTAAGCCAAGCAAATGATCTCATTGACACGATCGTGGAGCCCTCAGCGTTTTTTTGCACTTGGTAATTAAATTCTGCTCAAATACCTTCTCATTTCTGATTCAAACCTTTGCTCTGTGACACCAGGATGTTTCTGTGGGTCCTGACCAACGTGGGCAGGGGCTCAGAGGGGTCAGCAGTGGTGGTGAAGCTCATCCCAACATCATCCCTAGAAAGTCAGAGACCAGCTCTGTTTATTCCCAAGGTCTGGGCTCGCTGGGAATGCTGGTGGTGGGAGCTGGGACGGGTGAGGGGGATCCAGGGCAGGTGAGGATGTCAGGAAAGTCTCACTGGGGTAAGAAAAGGCAGATCCTGTTTCCCATTTCCCAAATCCCTGCCAATCCCTGCCTTCAGCACATCACTCCCGAATTCTGAGGACACGTGGCTGCTTTGGCACTTTCCTGACATTTGGAGTTCATTTTTTGGCATTTACACACAGTTACTTGTACACTCTGTGATGGTTTTTTATTGCAGCAGGTAATCTTGTACAAAGGCTCGGGCCGGGGCTGCCCTTTAGTCACATATATTTTAAACCATCTGAAGTTTATTTGACTGGTGATTAGGAGGATTTAAAGGGTGTAACCGAGGCGGAAAATAAATGTATTTAAAACTTAACCGGAGCCGGAGTGACACGGAGCATCAAAGCGTTATTTTGAGGGAGGGACAGGCTGGAAGTGCCACCCCGAGCCTGCCCCAAAACAGACTTTTTGGGTTGTTAAAACAGACTGTTTGGGTTGTTAAGGAAGGCTAAAGGAGGTGATAAGTGTGGGTTTGATCCGAGGGCTGTGAACGCCGTTTCAGTCCGTTGTAATCTATGGCTCGGTGAATGGCTTGTGATTCCATAATTCACGTTTAAAGGCAGAACAATGCTCGGAGTTCCTGCAGTAAATGGCTCCGTTATGATCCCTATCAAAGCCCGCTCATTATTCTCCTCCTCCCTCGGAGCAAATCGTCGGGAAACGCACCAAAAGAAACAGAATTTTAAAATCGGAACGAAAGCTCTCAGGAACTTTTTTTTTTTTTTTTTAAAAAGGAGGACAGGAAGAAAGTGCCGTTGTTGGAGGCATCAAAGTGACACGAAACCATTGTTGCTCCCACTGATGTCTGCGCTGCCCCGGCCCTCGGGGGGATGCAGCAGTGGAGGTTGGTGTTCTCTGAGCTTTAACATCTTCCTGGCTCGAGTTAACATCGTTCCTGCACGATGACACCGAGCTGGGGGGAGTGTTGACAAGCTGGAAGGCGGGAGGGCTCTGCAGAGGGACCTGGAGAGGTTGGATCCATGGGCTGATTCCAACGGGATGAGGTTCAAGCAGACCAAGTGCTGGATCCTGCACTTTGGCCACAACAACCCCCGGCAGCTCCAGGCTGGGACAGAGGGGCTGGAGAGCAGCCAGGCAGGAAGGGAGCTGGGATTTGGGATGGACAGGGAGCTGAACAGGAGCCAGAGTGTGCCCAGGTGGCCAAGAAGGCCAATGGATCCTGGCCTGGCTCAGGAACAGTGTGGCCAACAGGGCCAGGGAAGGGATTCTGCCCCTGGACTCAGCACTGGTGAGGCCACCCCTGGAGTGCTGTGTCCAGTTCTGGGCCCTCAGCTCAGGGAGGACATTGAGGTCCTGGAGCAGGTCCAGAGAAGAGCAACGAGGCTGGGGAAGGGACTGGAGCACAAGTGCTGTGAGGAGAGGCTGAGGGAGCTGGGGGGGCTCAGCCTGGAGAAGAGGAGGCTCAGGGGAGACCTCCTCACTCTCTGCAACTCCCTGACAGGAGGGGGGAGCCAGGGGGGGGTTGGTCTCTTTTCCCAGGCAACTCTCAGCAAGACAAGAGGGCTCAGGGTCTTCAGCTGTGCCAGGGGAGGTTTAGGTTGGATATTAGAAAGAATTTCTTTGCAGAGAGGGTGATCAGCCATTGGAATGGGCTGCCCAGGGAGGGGGTGGATTCTCCATCCCTGGAGGTTTTTAAGATCAGACTGGATGTGGCATCAGTGCCATGGGCTGGGAACCACGGCGGGGTTGGATCAAGGGTTGGACTTGATGATCTCAGAGGTCCCTTCCAACCCAGCTGATTCTGTGATTCTATGATCTCTTAGATAACATCTCTCAAAGCAGTTCCTTGGTGACCACACCGAGGTGTCCTGCTCAGACCTGGAGATTTGCCGCTTCTGCTTCCTTTCAGGTGGTTTGGGCACACACAGCTCAGCTGGGAGAGGGACAGTCTGTGTGCAGGGCTGGCAGATCTGTTGCCACTGGGAGAATCCCAAGATCGCTGGGGTTGGAAAAGCCCTCCCATGGAGCCCATGGATCCACCCTGTGACCTATCCCCACCTTGTCACTGAGTGCCACATCCAGTCCTTCCTTGGGCACCTCCAGGGCTGGGGACTCCAAACCTCCCTGGGCAGCCCCTTCCAAGGCCTGACCACCCTTTCCAGGGAGAAATTCCTGCTGATGTCCAAGGTGACCTTCCCCTGGTGCATTTTGAGGCCATTCCCTCTCCTCCTGTCCCTTGTTCCCTGGGAGCAGAGCCCGATCCCCCTGGAGTTGCAGAGCCAGAAGGTCCCCCCTGAGCCTCCTTTTCTCCAGGCTGAGCCCCCCCAGCTGCTCCATTCCCTTCTCCAGCCCCTCAAAGGACCTTTCCCATCTCCCCCCTGGATGTCCCACCACCCTCCCTAATGCCACAAAGTCCCTCCCCAGTGGAAAACTGTCCCATCATCCACCTCCTGTCAGGGAGTTGAGGAGAGAACTTGGATCTGCCGGGAGAACACGAGGCCAGAGGGAGTTTCCCCCAGATTCCAGGGGGTGTTTTTCCAGCCCCGGGTGCCAGAGGGTGGGATTTGAGGAGCAGCAGCAGCTCTGGGGCTGCTCTGCTGCTTCGCTTCCCTCTCAGCCTCGTGGGTTTTTTTGACTTTATGATATTCCTGTGCTGGTGGATCTCCCTTAATCCTCTTTTCCTCATTGTCTGACTTCCTCATCTTTCTTCATTTAGTGGCTGTGTGTTGCCAGCTTGTTCCTGTCTGCTCTCATTCCCCTGCTCCTCGTGTTCTCCCATCTCTCCCTGTCTGTTGTGATTTTTCTCCAGATGCCAAATATCATTTCCCAGCTCAGTAAATAATAGGAGGGGTTTTTCTCCTCATTCCTCCCTGGAAACAAAGCAAGGAAAGGCTTCTCCTTGCTCAGGTGTGGCTGTGGTTGTACCTGGGGGGTTCGAGGCACCGAAATAAAATTAAAGAGATATAAATAAAATTAAAGAGGTATAAATAAAATTAAAGAGGTACAAATAAAATTAAAGAGGTACAAATAAAATTAAAGAGATAAATAAATTTAAAAAGGTATAAATAAAATTAAAAATATATAAATAAAATTAAAAATACATAAATAAAGAGGTATAAATAAAATTAAAAAGGTATAAATAAAATAAAAATATATAAATAAAATGAAAGAGGTATAAATAAAATTAAAATTATATAAATAAAATTGAAGAGATATAAATAAAATTAAAAAGGTATAAATAAAATTAAAAAGGTATAAATAAAATTAAAGAGATATAAATAAAATTAAAAAGATATAAATAAAATTAAAGAGGGATAAATAAAATTAAAATTATATAAATAAAATATATATAAATAGAATTGGAAGAGCAGAGAGAATTTTATTCCCATTTCAATATAATCCTTTGATATGAAGGTAATTTTTTGACTTAAGAGATTCCTTTCATGAAACATCAGCAGTTCTTAGGAAGCTCCATTTCAGAATGTATAATTTAGAAAATATTTAAATTAAATTTAACTGTCCCTTGAATTCAACATAATTTCCCAATTAGCCCTGTTCACCCTCAGACTGGGGGATTTTTTTTCCTTCTTTGATGACTCAAATGATTCTCAGAAAAGCCCAAAGCAGCTGTGGAGTTTTTTGCATTTCAGCTGCAGGAGGATTTCCAAGCAGGGCCCAGCTATAAATAATTTTCCCAGGACAGTCTCATCTCGTGAGAAAAATCTGCCTAAAGATTTAAATGCCCAAAAAAATGACCAATGTTTCCATTTATTGCTTCCCCTGGAAGATGTGTGGAGTTAATATTCAGGCACATGCCTGACCTGCAATGGGGAATTAATTCCACTCCCTGCTGCCTCCCACCTGATGAATGCCCAGCAAATAAATTGGGCAAGTCTTTAACAATAAGAGGAAAAGTGATATAAATTCCTCCTCATTCCCTCAATAATGCTAATAAAGGCTCCTGATGAAGAGCAGCTGGTTTTTTAGTTTACTAATGTAG